ATACTCGTCGAATTTGACGATAACGCAGTGTTGCTCCCAAGACGTACCACCAAAATGATTGGATCATATTAAGCAGTTTATTGATGGAAAATATTCGCTTTTTGAAATCGTTGTCTTAAAAAATGTATGTTTTTAATAAAAAAACGAGGCCCCTTTCCTATCAAACGTTGGTTCCAACCAAGGATAATACACACTACTACTACAGGATAGCCTATCCTCATAAGGCCTGTGTGGAACAAATCCACTCTCTCCCCAACGTTAAATCACCAGTTGTGACGTAAGCAGCATGTTATTTCTCGCCTTGACGTAGGTTGTTTAAACAGCTGATGACTTAGTTATGGCGTCGTAAATGGTAACACACGAGGTCAATGAGTAATACTGTAGGTGTGTATCATCCTTAAGTTCGAACACCGTCTACCAGGTACAACATGAAGCTAGCTGCTGGACCCTCATAGTTACGTCACCACCACAGCATCCTGTTATAGGACACATCAAACTTGACACATGTACTCTAAATGGCGCCACGGACGTGACCCAGGTCGCTATGACGTCATCACAGAACCCGAACCATGAATCGAACTTTGCACTATGTACTCTAAATGGCGCCACGGACCCGCACTGACGTAACCCACGTGACCCAGGTCGCTATGACGTCATCACAGAACCATGAAACGAACTTCGCTCTATGTACTCTAAATGGCGCCACGAACGTGACCCAGGTCGCTATGACGTCATCACAGAACCTGAACCCTGAATCAAACTTTGCACTATGTACTCTAAATGACTCCACGGACGTGACCCAGGTCGCTATGACGTCATCACAGAGCCGGAACCATGAATCAAACTTTGCACTATGTACTCTAAATGACTCCACGGACGTGACCCAGGTCGCTATGACGTCATCACAGAACCCGGAACGACTCAAAACTCCCGCTATGACGTCATGACGTTTGACAGATGACGTTTGACAGATGACGTTTGACAGGTGACGTTTGACAGATGACGTTTGACAGGTGACGGTTGACAAGATGGCGGGAAAACATTTCCCCCCACCCCTTTTTCTGGTACCCATATTAAAATCCGGGGGCCCCTTTTTGGGGGGCGGAGCCCTACGGGCCCCCTTTTTTGGGGGGCGGAGCCCTACGGGTCCCAACTACAGCATCCTGTATTACGAACTTCACACTATGTACGCTAGATGGCGCCATGACGTTTGACAAGATGGCGCCGACGATGCATCCACCTTCGTGTCAACGACGGCGCATCCACCACGTGTCAAGAATGAAAGATTGAGGTTATGTTCGGATTTTTGTAGTCATACCCCTGTTGCTGTACTACTCATGGATACCAGGACACTCCGGAATTCCTGGAAATGAAACGGCTGACAAACTTGCAAACATTGGCAGAAATCTAAGGATACCAAAAAAGGTGCAGATGAACAAGAACTACATGATTAATACAATTAAAAAACAAATAGCAAAAGAGCATCAAGAAGTCTGGAAAGAATCCCTAAATATAAAAGGTAGATGGTATGCCCTTATACAAGACAATTTTCCCAAAACAATGTGGTTCAAGCAATTTGAATACATAGATCGAAAACATATAACTACAATGATTCGCATGAGATCAGGACACTGTCTCACAAATAAATATCTTCATAAAATTGGAATAAAGGATTCACCTAACTGCGAATGTGGACAAATTGAAGACCTCAACCACATAATACTGGAATGTCCCATTAATAAAATTCCAAATCAGGATATATACAGTGAATTAATAAGCCAAAACACTCCTGCTCCCCTATCTATGATCACTTTACTAAGAGACCCATGCTCACTGAAAATACAAATACTGAACAAATTTTTGAAATATAATAAAATTGACCTTTAAACAAAATCTATCCAATTAACAAAAATTAATGATACATAATAAAGAGAACAAACAAAAAATGATAGACCTCCCAGAAAGAAAAATCCCAAGTCCCAAAATCCCAATTATACACTCTGTAATGTTAATCCTATGTTGTATATGTTTTAAGCTAACCTGTCAATCACCAAACGGACGACGGAGTAAAAAGTAAAAAGTGAAAAGTCTGTGTTCGGAACATGGCCATGAGCCAGACGGCTTTCTGAACACGTTCAAATGTGCTGGCAAATTGCCCTATTGGGAGCAAAAGCCAATAACCCCAGAAAAGAAGAAGAAGAAGAACCTCTATCATGTGAAAGCCGAAAAATTTCACTGATTGAAAGCGACAAAGAAGGACTACAATCTTCTAAGATTTCTCAGTATATTGGTCTGAACTACAGATACAAAATTATTATAATCAATATCGATGGATTTTTTAGTCATGGCACGAAGGATTTTATATTTATTGTGGATTACTTCATCTTCACCTGATCTACATTACATTCTCCACTTACTAAAAGCTTTTTTTATTTAGTAAATTGATGGATGTCTCCTCGCCCACAACTCCTTGGTAGTCTCATCATCATCTTCTACATTTTTGTATCTACATCTTTGTCTGGAAAGGAAAGTATTCTGTTCTTAGTGGTCAACTTTCGTGAATCTAATAAGTTGGTATTTTCGACTACTGTCGTGTTCTCTATCCGATTGACCTGCCTTAGGCCGTCATTGATTTCATATACCTAACAAATTCGAAATTGTATTTATGACCTGCACCCTGCACCTCTCTGGCCTTTTTTGCAAGTGCTCTCAAACCGGTCTCTATTCCAAAACACTTAACATTCACTAGTTTTATTTGTGAGAAAATTCAATACTAATCGATCCAACAAGTCGATATTTTCTATCTCCAGATACTTTATCATTTTCATATGGTGGCTGTTTGACTTCCAATCTAGAGATTTTTTCCAGAAGCACTTGCTCTTGTTGTTTTAATTTTTTACTTATTGCGCGTCTCACATTCTTGAACAAATTTGCTTGATCAGTCAGCTTCTTAATTATTCCATTTTGACTTCCTAGCTTATCAATATTACTTTGTTGATTCCCTTCTAAATCTTGAACCTTTTGATCTAAAGTTTTATTCACTATGGCGGAAGTAGACAGTTCAAGTTCGAGATTCCCAATATTTTTTAATAATTCACTCGATGCAAAGGTTAATCTCTCCTAATTCTTCCAAATGTTTTTCTTTTCACATGACTGCTCTAACTGGTTTATCTTGGTTCCATTACCAACAGTCATATGTTCGATTGTCAATTCACTTCCTTGAACTCGTTTCTTGAATCTCATGTTTTCCTCGGTCAAGTTTAGATTTTTCTTGTTGAGACTTAGAGAGTTTTTTAGCACTTTAATCTCTTTTTCTAACGTGTCATTCAGATTTTTGATCTGAATTTGGAACTGATCGGTGATTTCTTCATTCTTCTCCTCCAATTCGTTAATAATAACACTAAGCTTGTTGTCCTCTTCTCTACACGCTCATTATCAAGATCTTTATCACCAGCACACGATCTACATAAAAAGGGCACTTCAACTTCAGTGGCTGACCGTTTTTCGCAGTTCCTATATAGCATGTCCTTGCATTCGACACATAAACCACCAAATAGTTCATAACTACCCTTCGGTGGTTCTTTGAAGATACATGCTAAAGAACATTTTTTAAATACCCCAGTCATCAGTTGCAGCCTACTGAAGGCTCAATTCAGCTGCAGAGTCTGATAATAATCAATGAACAGTTGATCCAAAAATCCACAAACAGCTGTCGACCCCACAATCAACGATTCAATGAACAATTGTTGTAAATATGCAAATTATAAATATGCAAATTATGGAACCGACGTCGAGGATTGGAAATACGAAATTTTTAAAAAGAAAAATTGTTTTCATAAGATCTTCCTATCTCGTAACAGCAGACAATTTTCTCCTCCTCTCGATACCAAACTCAGATAGATTAACAAAAGACAACACTTTGAAAACACCAATAAATTCAAGAGCTGATATGCACACACACACTATGCTAACTTAATTGAATTGTTATTAACACTTGTCAATGTTGAGATGAACCAGCGAGCGACAGAGTCCAGGTCCTCGTGCAATCTCGTGAAATCTTCTGCTTTGGTAATTAGTTTGATAACCTTAAAATCATTAGCATATACTAAGCTTTCTGAGCAAAGAGCAAGGGACCCAGATTGCTTTCCTGTGGCACCCCTGATGTCGCTGAGTAAGTCTCTGAGCCACAGTCACCTATTCTAACCAGTTGTTTGAAATCTTTCAGATAAGACTGCATAAAAAGACAAGCAGCAACTGAGAACCCAGTCACCCAGCTTTGACAGCATTACACCGTGATCGAGCTTGTCAAATGCCTTAGCACAGTCTATCATTATTACATCTAACTGATTTTTTTTTGTTTATTGCTTCCATTGCCCGTGTAGTGATAGTACATAGATTTGATACTGTGGACCTATCCGGCAAAAAGCCATACTGACAATTAGAAAAGCATTTGCTGAAATTTGACATTATATCATTACAAAGATTTTCGCTACAGTGTTCAATATACTAATTGGCTTATAGTTCTTAACTTTGCTGTGGGAACCAGATTTATGTATTGTTGGAAAAGTATTTGTTTGAATAGAGAGGTTAAATAAATGACTCAGAGACTTTAGAACTATAGCCCTTAGAAATGGAAGAAGGCTCATTGTGTGTTCCAACCGACTTTTTTGCCTTAAGCTTTTTTATGCTCAGCTTAACGTCCTCCTCAATTATTTTAGACAAGTGAAAATTACCAAAGTCAATATTTTTATCAGCTGCAGATGGTCTCTCATACACAGACGAGAAAAATTGAGCAAAGGCATCTGCAATCTCTTGTGTGCCACTGAAGGATCTATTATTGTGAGACACTTCCGTTGGCATACCATTGTTTTTGCTTTTAGCTTAGGAGACTATAAACAACCACCTATTGTTCTATCTTTTGCTTTTCTTGTATTTTTTAAATTTCCACAGTATTTAAGAATGATGTTTTTGGCGATATTAAATTAACCACAAATTCTTACCTGTAATCAGCAGAAGCTCCTATAACCAGAGCCGAAGCCAAATGAATGGCTCTCACAGGCCCGGCCGGTTCTCGAACTTCAGCTTTTTGCGATCCATCCACCACAATCATCGCTTCTTTTCTGTTACGTTCCACAGACACCGAATGCCACTGGTCATCAGCTAATCGATAGCTCACTTCAGCTACTACTGCTAGAGGTCCTGAGCCAGCTTGATATTGGAATTGGAGTCGATTTCCATTCACTATGGTCAATTTGATGTAGTCGGTTGGCCCTCTGGCGTGGAATAGTACTGCATTTTCAGTAGCAGTCCTAAAACCAGAAATTAAATAAATCGAATTAATTTCTATTTTTGAAAAAATTACCTAAACTCAAAATAAATATCTCCATTGTGTCCCATATCGAAATTTGGAATATCAATGGTGGCATCAGCAATCCTAAATGTTACCACATTATTAAAAATATCATCTCCTTTGCATATCAAAGGCCCAAGAGTATATCTGGCTTCTCTTTCATCTAAGGCACTTCCTGTATCCCCTAAGCGTAACTGTTTAACTGGCAAATCTTCTTTGTTGCTTAAATCTCCTGCGTCCACTAACCAGAACGGAGCATCACCATCACAATTACACCATTTAGTTGGGTCATTACAAGTACCCAAAACTCCACAGTCGCATTTTCTTGAGCCGGGCAAACCACCGCCCCAATAGTCCATTTTTTGGTTTTTCCTTGATACCCACCAAGAGAATGGTTGGAATCTGTTCTCTTCAGAAGGAGAGTTGAACAATCTGGCTTGTTTGCAAGCATATTGGATATTTTGAGTGCAAGTATCTGATCTATTTATGAGAGCCACAATTTGATCATCGTCAGCTTCATATTGGATATCTTGCACAAAGCTACCAGGCTCTTGAAAGCCATCTACTGTAGTAGTAGCTTCACTGGAGTGATGGAGAATTGTTGATACAGTGCCATCTGCACTGAACTGGCAAGTGACTGGGAATGGTGCTAGAGGACCACTCCCATCTACATCAATCTAGATATAATAATTAACTGATAAAACGATTTCAGGTTAATCTCATTTAGTTACCTTTATTTCTGCTTTTTGTCCAACAGCTTGAATGTTTTTATAGGCCTGGCACGAAAGCGAATTTATCGAACTGTGACATACAGCTCCACCATACCCTGTGCCTTTACAGTCGCACATAAATTCTACAGCGTTCTGTTTGCATATACCTCCGTGTTGGCACGGATTAGGGTAACACCTGTCTGTCATTCTACAAGAGTCGATTTTAACATGGTCAGTGTGGAAGTATTCTTCGTCTTTTATCCAGTCGGTGGGCAGTTTGCTGTTACCATCTATACGGATTGTCTTCATACAACCTATGAATCCTAAAAAAAAGAAAGTTATGACGTTAAAATTCTAGGATAGATTTTTAAGAACAAATTTGCTCTTTCCCTGTATTAATCATTGTCACAAATACTAAGAAGTTCTTACCTTGGAAAACAATATTAGAGTAACCCAAAGCCGGACTTATTCCGCCAGCAAACAAATACACACTGCCAGTCATTATTTTCAACAAACGAACAGTTTTCATCGGCCTGTTGTCCACGCTAAAAGTAATATCATTGGTTTTGATCGAAAGTACCAGCACGTGCCAGCGTCCATCGTTAAAAGTCTCTTGATAGTTATCAAACACCACTTTCGGGTTACCCGGTGTAACGAGTTCTACTTTGATTTTACCTTGCTCTAAATAAATCTGGAACAGATCAATGTATCACATTGTTCTAATTCGAATTGAAACTCTTACAGCCACAAATCCTGAAGACGAAAAAGCATGGTACATCATAACGCCATTATCCTCGTAAGTTCTAAAGTAAAACGACGCGTTCATGGAAGACATGCCTTCGTATCCCTTCAATTTCGCATAGGATTGAGCGTTGGTGAACGTTACAGGCACTATTTGTGGTTCCGGACAATTGTACAAGGTGTTTATTTTCTCGTATTTGTAGCTTTCGCCGTATTCGTAAGCTTCCTTTACTTCTTGAATTACGTTAGTTGAATTCAGGTAGATGTTTTCGATGCAGCCCGTGTAATTTTGTACTACCACTAGGCCTTCTTGCAGATTGGGAACGCCTCCAATGTAAAACTAATAAAGTGATTTATATTTTTAGCATAAAGAAGTTATTATTTGTTGTTCCTTTCATAGTAAATTACTGAAAATACAAAATAATGAAGGTGGAAACACATTATTTATTGCGAGATTTTGAAAAAAACGGTGGACTACCTACTTATGAAAGGAGAGAGTTCAGGATCCCTAGAACATGCAAGTTAATTTTATGAAAACGTTTGGGGCTTGGTAACAAATATCAGTGACTTATTATGTTCAGCCAAGACACACGGTTTTATTATTACTGGGACCTGGTTGGATTACTCAGTGATACAGAAATTGTTGATTGCTTGCAGAACAGACAGAAATGCCAAGAGTATTAACAAAGGATGTCGTAGTGGCAATGAACAAGACTAAAATCGTTTCGTGTATTAAGCATTTTGGAATCAAAATCCCAAGCTTGTGAAACATTGGAAAAAATGTAATGGGTCATAGGTGACAGGTGGATATTTTCTTTACACATAATTCAAAATGAAGACTCTTCCTGGACAATATCGAGTTTTCATTCTTTATCAAGAGTGAGACCTTTTATACATATAGGCATGATCAGCACTATACCCTCCCTTGCTCTACAACTTCTTTTGGCGTGCATCCGATCAAGTCAATTCTCACTTCTCTCTGACGACATGAAGATGTTTAGTGTGAACAATGAAGAAATGAGTGGGGAAACACAGTTCGGATTTATCAGAGGATTGGGAACTAGAGAGACATAGTGAGTGCTCCTCGAGACTATTAGTTCAAAAATACTATGATTAACGTAAAAATGTCTGTCTGCTTTATCAACTACAGACGCGCATTTCAGAATGTAAAGCACGATCTACTGATTCATAGGTTAAGAGATATAAGTGTCGACAACAACGTTAAATTTACACAAAATTTATACTGGAGTCAAACCGCAGAAGAGAATACAAGATGATCTATTGACTGAACCATTTGAAATTTCAAAAGGAGTTAACCAGGGATGTATTTTATCACATTACTGTTAAATATTTATGTGGGATTCAGCTTGAACTAGAAAATGAAGCCAAGGGTATTAAAATCAACGGAAAGCCTATAAATTATATCAGATATGCTAACGATACAGGAATTATAGCTAATACTTCGGAAGATCTAAAATATTAACTTGATAAAATCAACCAACAGGAACATCATTATAGTCTGCATATAAACATAGAATAGACGAAAGTTATGAGTATTGGCAGACCTACTGCAGAGCCCAACATTTTGATAGATGATGAAGTAATAGAACATGTCTCAAAGTTCAAATATCTACTATCTGTTAATAATAATAAGTGGGACTTTGACGAGGAAGTTAAAACATGGGTTGGTAGGGCCAAAACAGCATTCTGGAAACTCAAGACAATGTTGTTGCCTAGAGATCTATCATTGGATTTGTGCTAGAGTGATTCGAGCTTAAATTTGGTCAATTAAAGTCAAAACGGTGAATCATTCATGTAACCAAAGATTATGCAATCCCCAAATTTATTCTTCAAGAAAAAATGGAAGGCCGCCGTGAACCTGGAAGAAAACGACATTCTTGGCTTCGTAACATCAGAGACTGGAGTGGAATATCTGATGCAGCAACAATTTTCTGCCAGGCTGAAGCCAATACTCTCTTAGTGCGATCAGGAAAAGGAAAGGATAAAATGATCCCAATGTGCGGACAAGCATACAAGACTCAATGAAGAAGAAAAAGCATGATCATGATCAATACTTTTGGGGACCGTTTGGACCTTCAGGATGACCTAGACAGAGAGGGATGCTATTTCTAGTACAATTGTACTAGATCTAGCACAATTATGTTTCACCTAGTACACTAGTACCTCTCTTATAAATCTAGTACAATTTAAATTACGAGTCGAGTGTCGCTTTTCACTCTATACTGTACCCGAGTTCTGCGCTCCACTCTCTACTTGTGGGTTGGGTTTCACGTTCCGGTCCCATTATGGTGCGGCTAAAGCTAGGTATACCTGGTATTAGACTGGCGAGGATATTCAAGCATAATCGGATTATGCTGGGCCAATGAACTATAGCCAAAAACTGGAATGCGCACACATTGCCATATCTGCCAAAAAAATGTAGCCATGAAAGACAGATGCCACAAAGGGGAATGTTGTTTTTTTCTGTTGCTCGCTGACATATGATGTTTTGGAAAGTTTTGTCATATTTACCTTCACAGGTTTCATCAATTGGAATACGTGTTGGAAGCAATTTCCGCCATTTAACATAATGAGTGCGACAAAAACAGGTATCCCCTCCGCAGCAGTGGCAATAGGCTTCACGTTCGTCAATATTCATTGTGCTGGGCAATGATGCTGGGTTATGTGATGTGTCAATTGTGTCATACTTCCCTAATGGTGCATTTACATTCACTTCGAAGTCCAATTTGTCTTGAAATTGACGTGCTTGCCATATGGCGACAGCACAGATCCATTTACATTGAAATAAATTTGAAGTTCACTTCGAAGTGCACTTCAAATTTGGGCGAGCTGCTTGCCAAAGGCAAGGAGAAATTTGTAAAATGAATTTTTAAATTCTCATAAAATTCTGTCATGTTGACTTGACGGTTTTTCTCAATTTCCAATATCCAAATAAACGGAACAAGCAAAAAAAGCAATCATGAATATTTGGTTAGACGATGGAAGCCAGGGTGTCGGTAGTAGAAGTGAAAATTACGGAAATATCCAGGAAAATATTGAAAATTATTATATTGTTGATGAAGACACAGAAGACATAAAAATGGCCCACATAATGAAAGAAGACTTTCTAAACATCTAGTTGAGGCGGATGATACGAGTGAAATTGAGAAATAGTTCTGGGCTACTTATTTGTAATTCCCGAATTAAGTTATCAAAAAACCCTTGTTCTTTCCTTTGTAGGAAAATATTCCTAACCCATATTGATCTTTTTCTGCAGGGGGGTCTTTTTTTCTTATTTTTTAGGTGCAAAACACCCAAAACAACCGCAGACGTTCCCAGAACCACAATTTTTTTCTGATTGTCCATGTCCATATTCAAAAATTCAAAAACTTTCAGACCTACAGAAAACGCAAATAATAAACAAACCTCGATCAACCTGAGTGAATTTTGACAATTTTGTTCTGCAATGTAAATGATAAAATATCAAACGTCAATTTTAACTTAAAGTTAGAAGTGAATGTAAATGCTGCTTTAACTCCTTCTCCATCAAATTCTGGGCCTGCGAAAGACGTCACTATCAACAGAAAATAGCGATGACGTCACCTGCAGACCTCGATCGAATGCTTGCGAATCGGGCTATGCTAGTGAGTTAATTTTTTCGTCGATTTTAAATGTAGGAAAGGTGATTTTCGGTCTGTTCTCACAGAACAAATTAGTGTTCTTGATCCTCGAGTATCCTAGAATTTGATGGTGGGGGAGTTTTTCATTCTGTGACTTGACGTGTGTCATGTATGGGTGAATATTCGGTTATTCAGCGGATCATGCTAATCGATAGTCGATTTATAACTAAATATGTGGAAATTTATTTATTCCTATCATTCAGGGCCGTTTCTCCAATAGCGAGTCACCCCCAGGTTAAGGATAACTCTAGGTAAACATTGCAACTGGACACGTTTACCCTGGAGTCAAAACCAACCCGCAGGTGACTCGCTATTGAGAAACCGACCCTAAAATAAATTATATTCACCCATTTAGCAGAGCTTACATTTGTATTCAAATTTAAAATTTGATGCGCTTTCAGCTAGTACACAATGTCGCCAATCTAGTAAAATTATTCCCTACTTTCTGGTACAATTTTTTAGTGCTGATAGCATCCCTGTAGACAGAGTTTCCTACTGGTGTAGGAAAGTAAGAACGGGATGGCTCTAAATATCTCAAGGTGTGAATTTATGAAGTTTTTTAGCAATCCTGTAAGAACTTTCAGTACATGTGGGATGGCCAGTCTCTTCTAGTGGTTGATACGTTGAGAGACATTGGACTCTTTTTCTTGACGTGTATGCACATCATTAAGAATGATTGGGTTAGTCAATAGTTAGTGTCAAGCGTCATACTGGGGAGTTGTGTAACATCTTTTTAAACTTTACACTGAGCTCTGAGGGCCGATCCTCGAGCCAGGGAGTAGAGCTCCTCGAGAGAACAAATTTTTCGTCTTTATCATTCTCATTTACTTTTCGATTACTTACGTTGACAAAGACAAAACATTCGTTCTATCGTGGAGCTCTTCTCCCTGGCTCGTGGAGCTCTTCTCCCTGGCTCGAGGATCGGGCTTCTGGTGAGAGCCCATCTTCAATATCTTCATGTGCATAGAAACTTCATTAGACTACCCATATACTTACATTGAATCAAACAGCTTTTTTAGGCATAATAATTTTAGGTTTGGAGATGCTGCCCTGGCTGACTATGCTCAACTACTCAACTATGTTCTGATTATGAATACCTTCCATGAATTCCATTAGAGACCATTGAGTCCTCTCGCAAAGCGAAAATAATGTGTTTCCGCCTTAGAAAGTGTCCCAAAATAAAACTTACATCTCTATTCAAATTAAGCCTATTGAAATCGCCTTCGATGCGTTCCTGTACAACAACTCTATCAACTGAAAACAATATCTCTCTCTTGTTCCTCGAAATAACTACGTCATGCCAAATATTGTCGTCCAAAAGACTTCCTACGCTCAAGCTTGTTACCATCCCGGAACCTGAAATATTTTACATTAATTAATGTTTTCCTATTTCCTGGCAACACTCTACCTAAATCGATATTAAGCAACATCCTGTTCTCTCTAAGTTGCAAGGCAATATAGTCACCCTGAGTGCCTCTGCTGTAAAGCAAAACTCCATTGGCCGAAGCAGTTTTGAACCGAAATTTGATGGTTTCCCTTAAGGCAGCTATGGGATCTCTAAGTAGGTCTAGTTTGAGAAGGGAGGTACCATTGAAGTACATATTTTGGGCAACTGAAAATATTGCAATTAAATAAACTTTTAAAATACAGTTGTGCATCCTACTTACCATATTCACAGCCAAACAGTTCGACTCTCATCGAGATTCTGTCACGCCATCTAGTGGGATTTATACGCACCCATTGGGCTATAATTGGTACTTCGAATTCGTTTTTTTGTACTGATTCACCGTCTTCGTTACCTCTGAACATCTAGTGTGGAATTTTTATGTGAAAATATTGAACAAATCAATTGTGGAAGTCCATTAACAAATATTACCATTACTGATTTTTAATTAAACATTATATTACTAATTTGACTTATATGTCTTAGAATGAATAGGTATAGTTTTTCCAAAGTCAATTGGAACAAGGTGAACATAAATCATAACTGGTGGCTGACTAGTGGCAGTGCATTTCTTATGGAAATTTTTAGTGACCAGTCAACCACCAGTTGGTACCTTGTTCCAATTGAGTTTGGAAATAATATACTTGAAAATATTTGAGGGATGGTGTAAAACACCTTAAATCTTACAATTATTGAAAATAAGAGATCTTGGTTTTTCTAATATTATTAATAGTTGAAGATAATGGTTATCGGTAATGGACTCGTGAATATTGATGTTACTTTTTAACTATGTGCTCATAATAATTGAAATTCTAACGACAAACCTTTATAGAAAAATAGGAAAAATTAGTGCGGTGCAAAAGCAGTGATAGTGAAGTTAAGAGCAGTTAAAAGAACTTAGTTTTTAAAACGACTGGGTGACTTAGCATAGGTAAATTCTTTTTGATACCGCGTCATCATAAATCACAAATATTAGTCATATTAAATCACCCAGTATGAAATAAATTTCTAAAATCAAATATACAATAACCACCTCGATTTGTCCATGAGAATCACGGAAAGCCCTCCATCCTTCGTTGCCGCTATGCGAGTACTCCACAACATACTCCGAGACGAACTCTCGGGTCATGGCGCGACCCTGCGTTGCTATGGAACGTACTTCGTATCTGCCACCCAAATCGATTATTAGCTTTTCAAAGTAGGTACTTTCCTTGGGAGTCCATGCTGAGCCACCTTAGAAGAAATTGGGTGGAGGGAATTGGAAAATGTTAGTTTTTGTAAGAAACAGAAAGACAGATTGATTAAAACATGAATTTTATAACTTTTCATGTAAGTACACTTAGTAATTTTACTGATGGGAAATTTTATTCACAAATTTACATTAGGCGCTATTGTTTTGTTATACAATTCATGAAGACTAGAGGAAAAAGATAATGATTATACTGTAATAAGCAATGGGAGAGAGCAACCAGAATACATGTTAAAGCTAATATACAACAGCCTTTTTTAAAATTAAAATCCTGATGGAAAAACGTTGAATGACTATTATTGAAGATAAACATTCTTTGATCAGCGTCTTTTACCTTTAGTCTTTATTATATAATTGAACCAAATGTAGGCAAATTTCAAAGATTGACACCACCACCAACAGACTCTTGGCAGTGTAATTTAAGATTAAATAAAGCTTATGAGTTAATGAGGAGCTATTTAAGTGAGTATTTAAGTTATTTACAAGACTGCTACTAAACTCTAAAATACAACTAAAATTACTATACAGTTCCTACAAACTAAAAAAGCAAAGCAATAGACTTATAGACAGGACTTATCTTGCTAAACAGGTTTGTGGCTAAAATAGCTATATGTCTCTTACATAACCGGAAGTAACTGGACCCATAACCCTTACAATCAGTTTAAAATTTAAATTTTGTTGACTTTTTCTTTCAGATATTTTCATTATAATAGGTCAAACCTTATTTTCTTGAAAAATATACCTACCCTAATATCTCCTTCAGAGTCTCGATAAAAAACGTAATCCTGTCCGTTGGTACCAAAACTGATTTGGTACTCCATGACGTACTCGTGACTGAAAGGTCTGCCCTGCGTCCATACTCTAGTTACGTTCATAACTTGGCCCAAATCGATTATGAGATATTGAGAGAAATCATTATCTTTAGCCGTCCAGGCATTGGTACCTTGGTTACAGAACAGAAATTAAGATTTTTGTGTATGTATTTGCTTAGAGATATTGTTAAAAGTGACTTAACGTCAGCAGAAGGAATTCTTATCATAGACAAGCCTGTGGATACTATAGTAGACTTTCGCAAATAACAAGTTCTTTATCTCTGACTAGTGACGTTTTCATGATACACTCAAATCCTTTTCCGATCCTTGAAAATCTTTATTGAGAAAATCATTGGGAGGATAAGTTTGGCATAGGATATTACTCCAGTAAACTTCTACACATAATTGTGACACAAAACACAATTTTGTAAGTATTGTAAGTATTCAAACATATATTGCGTATCAAAGTTTGTTCCAGTCAAAATCCCCATGGAATTTGATAACATATCTAAACTCATAAATAAAATAAAAACATGCAAAATGGCAAAGTAAAAACACAGAACATGCAATCGCTACTAAAAATACTGTGCCACTCAGATACAGGCACCTACCCTAAAAACGACTAAAGTTTCTTTAATCAATAGAAAAAGGATAAATTTAAATAACAATAAGTATTATGCTTTTTGAAAAGATTTTTATTTCCAGTGCCCTATCCATACATTCTAGTTTATTAATAAGAGAAACTTAAAAAGATTTTTCGGGTTTCTTAAAATAATCCAAACAATAACTCTCATCTTGAGGCAAAATTGTCTTAGCATTTTCCATTAATTCCTCAAAATTCAACTCTTTAAACTCAACTTGTGGGACTTGCTTATTTGATGCTATTGCTACGCAATGAAAATCATCTAAGAGTGTTTCTTGAAAATGCCATTCTGTCATTTCGTCGCCTCTAACAAATAATTTTGTGTCATCAACATAACACCCTTTGGATAAAGCAGAGGCTAATTCAAAACTTAAATCGTTTAAATTAATGGTAATGCCTACACCTATGGCTTTAGTATAGCTCTCTTTCAAAGACCATATCCTACAAAATGTATTAGTTTGCTCTGTTTTACTAGAAGATTCATATATTTGTTTCCATTCTTGAGCAGAAAAATTCTTAGTCATTATTCGGAAAAATTCATTAAGGGGCTTGCCCCCCGTATATTCTAATTTCATCAAGTCTATACCTAACAGTAAATCACTACCAATTTCCCCAGCTAAAACCGTATAATCCCCTTGATGAGAAACATTAAAGTTAACATTTGCAAAGTCACTTAACACTGGTCGGCCAGTTTCACTGTTCCTACTGAACTTCAAATCGTTATAGCGCAAGTTGCACCCTTCGGACACAAATTTTCTCATCATCAATCTACCGATTAAGGAAGATTTAAAGTCTTTGTTGAACACAAACTTGCCCAATCTCAGTTTTTCTTCTGGCTGAATACAGGCAGTTGCTAGCAACAGTTCCTGATAGGTCGGCGACCATTTGGTTATGTTAAAACACCACCTGACACTGGTTTTAGACATTGTGAATTTTTAGAGAATTAGCAGGCCTCCCAGTCAGCTAGAAACCTACCGAATAAAAGTTTGAGTCAGAAGATGAATTTAAACTCTAAAATGATTTGAATTTATATTTATTTATTTAGATTCGGGGTCGTTCCAAGTAATGACTTAACATAGGGCTTAACATATTAGTTACAGTTTTGCCTCACAAGTAGGTACCTATATTTAAAAAGTCAGCTCTTATGAGACAAAAGATGCTATAATTTAAACTAGAATGTATGGACATAGGTAGGTGTAGGTACCCATATTTATGATCAAATTTACTACTTTTAAGGATTAATTGAAGTTTCAAGCCAACTTGAAACATATTTCTAAACATAAATATCAACAATATCAACTACTTGCTTGATGATGCTACTTTTACATAAGAAGTTTATAAATGATTTCTGGGCAAAAAACAACCTGAATAATCTCATCCATTTTTTAATAGTTATTAGAGGATTTTTTGGAAAACACAAGTGTTTCGCCAAAGCTCCAATACGATGCTAATTACTCATACTATGAGTTGTATTGCTCTGACACAAACAATGCAATAACCGAGAACAGCCCATTTGGGTGTAGAATAAAATCAGTTTTTCGAAACACTTGTGTTTTCCAAAAAATCCTCTAATAACTTGGATTCGATATACTGCCAAGTATTTTTCGATTTTTCGAAAATTTATTTTCGAAAAACTGATTTCATTTTTTAATATATGAGCTTCTGACGATAGGTACTCTAATTAAATAGCAAATAAAATAATTTTGGCAATTGAGTTGGCAATGTCTTGACTTGATTTATATTCTATTGGAAATATGAAATATCCACCTGAAAATGATAAAATCAAAAGTGCCCATAAATTCAGGAGTGCTTTTTTGAATATCGACCAAAAATGCGCCTTTTTTAGGATTTTTCCGGATTTTTCAAAATGACCCAAAAATATGTTCTACTTAACAAAATTTCTTCTAAAATAACCAAAAAGAAAACTGAAAATTTGTGAACTTTTTGTTTGGGCATCCTAGGTATAGATAAATGTCCAGATAAAAGAACGGTTTCTCGAAAGATTTAGAAATAACATGGAAATTTGGTCTTTTGTGTTTTCCCAATACTACCCAAAGTGATCAGAAATGCCTTTATAGTATGATGACGTTCTATCAGATACTTTTTATGGATGTTGTCATTTTGGGAACAGATTACCGAATTTATAGACTAACTTTGAGGTTTCCTTGGACCTCAAGGAAGCCTTGGACGTTTAGAATTGACATGATAAACTTGTCCAATAGTAACAAATGTCGATTCTGACTCCCAAGGAAGTCTCAAGAAACGACTAAAAGTTTGGCATAATTCGTCTGTCTACTCATAAGTCATGTAGTGCCTCGGGCCTGTTTCATAAAACTTCCTAATATTATTAGCTAATAATATTAGTCTAATGAAATAAAATTATTAGCTTAGCTTTTTCTGTTTCATAAATACCTACTTCATTGCTACTAATAAAATCCAAACACTAATAATATTACCACATTAGTGACGCGTTTTGTTTTGAAGTTGAAAATTGACATTGTCATAGAATTTCCAAGCAAAAAGCTGCCATGAAACGGTAATCATTCCTCGTCCATTCTTTCACATAACAAGCTATTCCGTCAATTAGCACAAACATAATAAAATTTTAAGGATGGACCACATACAAGCATGATGTTTAAGGAACTATTTCTGTGGCGCTCGACAAATGTAGCAAGTGCTCCTCACTACCAATGAAGTGCAACCATAATCTGTTGTTTTGGTGTTAGGGCATGATTTCTTCTAGTAGCATACAACAAACTATGCTCAATTCGGACAAGAACGAAATCAAATTTTTATGTTGACAACCTAAATCTTACATTTAACTCGCAAGTTTCTTCCATGTATAAATAGGGAGTTCGGGAGTTCGTCCTTTGAAACTTCATGGTTTTCTTACCCAAACTTATTTCTTGATCGCTTGATTTACTCATAATTTATTACTGAGTTTTATTTCTCTTGTTTGCAGCACAATTGTAAAGAGAAAGAACGTCAAAGAACTTAAGTTTTATTTTTTTCAACGAAGTCGTTGACTACTAATGATAATATTATAGGCACGATGGTAATAGATTTTCACAAATAATATCAGTGTTTATCAATAGACTCATTTATTTATGAAACTAATGAATTCATTAGTCTAATAGAAATCACTAATATTTCAAGAAGAAATGTCATAACTGATAATATGTATTACTAATATTTTTTTTGGAACCCCAACTCATAATTTTCATCATTAATATTTGCTAAAGAGTAATATTATTAGACTAATATTTTTTTTCTACAAACGTGTTAAAAATGCAATTTTTAACACCCCCCCGAAGCATTAAAAATGTTACTTTATCGCACTAGTGCCATAAAGTCTTTATAGCACTAGTGTTAAAAATGAAACATCAAATTTTGAGAGCGAACGTCAAAAAAAGTTTGTATTTTTAGTTATTTACATTGATATGAATGGTGAAATTTGAACAACTGAGGTAGCCCGATTGGCCGCCTCATCTATATTTTTCAAGGGATCGATGCAACCCTCTTTTTCTTC